CGTTCCAGAGAGCGTCAGGCTCCTTGGGCGTTCCAGAGAGGGTCAGGCTCCTTGGGCGTTCCAGAGAGGGTCAGGCTCCTTGGGCGTTCCAGAGAGGGTCAGGCTCCTTGGGCGTTCCAGAGAGGGTCAGGCTCCTTGGGCGTTCCAGAGAAGGTCAGGCTCCTTGGGCTTTGCAGCAGCCACTCTGGTTTGGATGTCCTCGGCAGAATGTGTCACTGTAACCAAGTGGTCACATGTCATTCTAGGTTCCACTGTGCAAGAGGGATCCATGGAGTTTTATGAACATCAATGCAGACACACAGTGAATTTTCTTTCAATGTTCTGATTGGTCAAAGTGAAGAAAGAGAAGACACCTCTATTTACCTCACATAGACTACAGTTCTTCATCATTCATCATCATCATCACTCCCCCACCAGAGAGAAGACACCTCCACAGTTCTTCAGGCTGCTATACATATTTATTTGGTTTGTCATTCTATCATTTCAGATGGAATTTTAGTGCTAATTAAATATAATTTATTTAGAAGTTATCAGAATACATTTTCCAGAAATAGTTTTACCAGCTCTGTGTATTCTGAAAGTGAAAAGATGAGGGAGCGCTGCTCCTCTGTGCTCTGGCAGTACCACACCCCTGCTAAGAAGGTGCAGTTCTGTAATCTGCAGACTGCAATTCCCCAAATCATCACAGTGCTGCGCTAGAGTACCGTAACCAGAGAGGATGGAACCAATGACTGTATATATGAATGGACAAAACCATCGATCACGTGGCACCATTCATTCCTATGTGAAGAGTCAATAGTGCATTGAAGCCAAATGAAGCTGGCGTCTCATGGAGACACAACCCGTCCCGTGTAGCTCAGTTGGTAGAGCATGGTGCTTGCAACGCCAGGGTTGTGAGTTCGATTCCCACGGGAGGCCAGTATGAAAAATGTATGCACTCAGTAACTGTAAGTCGCTCTGGATAAGAGCGTCTGCTAAATGACTAAAATGTAAATAACATGCACAGTTTGAGCAACTCCTTGACGTGACGTTGCAGGCTAGCTCAGTGCTGCCCCCTCTCGTTGAGTAACTCAAGTTAAAGGCTGACCGGGGTACTGCAGGGTGCCATTAGCAACTCAATTATCCTTAGAACTTCTGTTTGCGAATTTTGTTTAAAATAATCAGTTGAAGGACATACATCTGGTGTGTTAGAAGCAATTTTTTAGTACTATGATTGTCTTCAAATTGTGTATTTGTTTACACCAAGATTGACCACGGAGATTGCCATTTTTCAGTTCACTATCCAATCTTCTGCTAACAATTCCAGCAGTAACCCGGTTGGCCTAGAACCTCCGTGGCTTCAATGAGAGGGGCCAGTCGGTCTCCCCTGCAATGAGAGGGGCCAGTCGGTCTCCCCTGCAATGAGAGGGGCCAGTCGGTCTCCCCTGCAATGAGAGGGGCCAGTCGGTCTCCCCTGCAATGAGAGGGGCCAGTCGGTCTCCCCTGCAATGAGAGGGGCCAGTCGGTCTCCCCTGCAATGAGAGGGGCCAGTCGGTCTCCCCTGCAATGAGAGGGGCCAGTCGGTCTCCCCTGCAATGAGAGGGGCCAGTCGGTCTCCCCTGCAATGAGAGGGGCCAGTCGGTCTCCCCTGCAATGAGAGGGGCCAGTCGGTCTCCCCTGCATGAAACCTACTGTCAAGTATATAACTTATTAGGCTACTCTATTTAATTCCAGATCCAAGAGAACTCTCCTGCACACATTGCTGGTTTGGAGCCATTATTTGACTTCATCCTATCAATAGGAAACACCAGACTGGTGAGTTATTTTGAGTTACGGGGAGTTATGGGGAGTTACGGGGAGTTATGGGGAGTTACGGGGAGTTATGGGGAGTTACGGGGAGTTACGGGGAGTTACGGGGAGGTATCCTGGGGACAGAGGTATCCTGGGGACAGAGGTATCCTGGGGACAGAGGTATTCTGGGGACAGAGGTATCCTGGGACAGAGGTATTCTGGGGACAGAGGTATCCTGGGGACAGAGGTATTCTGGGCAGAGGTATCCTGGGACAGAGGTATCCTGGGGACAGGGGTATCCTGGGGACAGAGGTATTCTGGGGACAGAGGTATCCGGGGACAGAGGTATCCTGGGGACAGAGGTATCCTGGGGACAGAGGTTTTCTGGGGACAGAGGTAACCTGGGACAGAGGTATCCTGGGGACAGAGGTATTCTGGGGACAGAGGTATTCTGGGACAGAGGTATTCTGGGGACAGAGGTATCCTGGGGACAGAGGTATCCTGGGGACAGAGGTTATCCTGGGGACAGAGGTATCCTGGGGACAGAGGTATCCTGGGGACAGAGGTATCCTGGGGACAGAGGTATCCTGGGGACAGAGGTATCCTGGGGACAGAGGTATCCTGGGGACAGAGGTATTCTGGGGACAGAGGTATCCTGGGGACAGAGGTATCCTGGGGACAGAGGTATCCTGGGGACAGAGGTATCCTGGGGACAGAGGTATCCTGGGGACAGAGGTATTCTGGGGACAGAGGTATCCTGGGGACAGAGGTATTCTGGGGACAGAGGTATCCTGGGGACAGAGGTATCCTGGGGACAGAGGTATCCTGGGGACAGAGGTATTCTGGGGACAGAGGTATTCTTTTACATCTATAACATACTTTTCTCATCCCTTTGGTATTTGGTATAATATACATTAATTTAAAAAAACAGAAGTTGGACGTTATGGAATAAAACAACCATTGTAATATAATAGGTATTCTCTTTCACAGACTGTATCAACAGTGTAGCTCAGTTGGTAGAGCATGGTGGTTGCAACGCCAGGGTTGTGGGTTCGATTCCCACGGGGGGCTAGTATGAAAATGTATGCACTCACTAACTGTAAGTCGCTCTGGATAAGAGCGTCTGCTAAATGACGTAAATGTAACAGGAACAGGTGTAGCCAGCCTGTCACTGTTTCTTTATGAACAGGTGTGTAGCCAGCCTGTCACTGTTTCTTTATGAACAGGTGTGTAGCCAGCCTGTCACTGTTTCTTTATGAACAGGTGTGTAGCCAGCCTGTCACTGTTTCTTTATGAACAGGTGAGGCCAGCCTGTCACTGTTTCTTTATGAACAGGTGTGTAGCCAGCCTGTCACTGTTTCTTTATGAACAGGTGTGTAGCCAGCCTGTCACTGTTTCTTTATGAACAGGTGTGTAGCCAGCCTGTCACTGTTTCTTTATGAACAGGTGAGGCCAGCCTGTCACTGTTTCTTTATGAACAGGTGTGTAGCCAGCCTGTCACTGTTTCTTTATGAACAGGTGTGTGGCCAGCCTGTCACTGTTTCTTTATGAACAGGTGTAGCCAGCCTGTCACTGTTTCTTTATGAACAGGTGTGTGGCCAGCCTGTCACTGTTTCTTTATGAACAGGTGAGGCCAGCCTGTCACTGTTTCTTTATGAACAGGTGTGGCCAGCCTGTCACTGTTTCTTTATGAACAGGTGTGGCCAGCCTGTCACTGTTTCTTTATGAACAGGTGTGTGGCCAGCCTGTCACTGTTTCTTTATGAACAGGTGTAGCCAGCCTGTCACTGTTTCTTTATGAACAGGTGTGTAGCCAGCCTGTCACTGTTTCTTTATGAACAGTGTGTGCCAGCCTGTCACTGTTTTCTTTATGAACAGGTGTAGCCAGCCTGTCACTGTTTCTTTATGAACAGGTGTAGCCAGCCTGTCACTGTTTCTTTATGAACAGGTGTAGCCAGCCTGTCACTGTTTCTTTATGAACAGGTGTGTAGCCAGCCTGTCACTGTTTCTTTATGAACAGGTGTGTAGCCAGCCTGTCACTGTTTCTTTATGAACAGGTGTGTAGCCAGCCTGTCACTGTTTCTTTATGAACAGGTGTGTAGCCAGCCTGTCACTGTTTCTTTATGAACAGGTGAGGCCAGCCTGTCACTGTTTCTTTATGAACAGGTGTGTAGCCAGCCTGTCACTGTTTCTTTATGAACAGGTGTGTGGCCAGCCTGTCACTGTTTCTTTATGAACAGGTGTGTGGCCAGCCTGTCACTGTTTCTTTATAAACAGGTGTGTAGCCAGCCTGTCACTGTTTCTTTATGAACAGGTGTGGCCAGCCTGTCACTGTTTCTTTATGAACAGGTGTGTGGCCAGCCTGTTACTGTTTCTTTATGAACAGGTGTGTAGCCAGCCTGTCACTGTTTCTTTATGAACAGGTGTAGCCAGCCTGTTACTGTTTCTTTATGAACAGGTGTGTGGCCAGCCTGTCACTGTTTCTTTATGAACAGGTGTGTGGCCAGCCTGTCACTGTTTCTTTATGAACAGGTGTGTGGCCAGCCTGTCACTGTTTCTTTAAGTTCTTTTACAGGTGTGTGGCCATCCTTCACTGTTTCTTTATGAACAGGTGTGTGGCCAGCCTGTCACTGTTTCTTTATGAACAGGTGTGTAGCCAGCCTGTCACTGTTTCTTTATGAACAGGTGTGTAGCCAGCCTGTCACTGTTTCTTTATGAACAGGTGTGTAGCCAGCCTGTCACTGTTTCTTTATGAACAGGTGTAGCCAGCCTGTCACTGTTTCTTTATGAACAGGTGTGTAGCCAGCCTGTCACTGTTTCTTTATGAACAGGTGTGTGGCCAGCCTGTCACTGTTTCTTTATAAACAGGTGTGTAGCCAGCCTGTCACTGTTTCTTTATGAACAGGTGTGTAGCCAGCCTGTCACTGTTTCTTTATGAACAGGTGTGTGGCCAGCCTGTCACTGTTTCTTTATGAACAGGTGTGTAGCCAGCCTGTCACTGTTTCTTTATGAACAGGTGTGTAGCCAGCCTGTCACTGTTTCTTTATGAACAGGTGTGTGGCCAGCCTGTTACTGTTTCTTTATGAACAGGTGTGTAGCCAGCCTGTCACTGTTTCTTTATGAACAGGTGTGTAGCCAGCCTGTCACTGTTTTCTTTATGAACAGGTGTGTAGCCAGCCTGTCACTGTTTCTTTATGAACAGGTGTGTAGCCAGCCTGTCACTGTTTCTTTATGAACAGGTGTGTAGCCAGCCTGTCACTGTTTCTTTATGAACAGGTGTGTAGCCAGCCTGTCACTGTTTCTTTATGAACAGGTGTGTGGGTACTGTGTACTCCTGCTGACAGCTGTTTTCGCCCTCTCCTCCGCTCACTCCAGAACAGAGAGAATGACCTGCTGAAGGACCTTCTGAAGGCCAACGTGGAGAAGGCAGTGAGGCTGGAGGTGTGGAGCACTAAGGCTCGACGGGTCAGAGAGCTGGAGGTGGTCCCCAGCAACATGTGGGGGGGGCAGGGGCTCCTGGGGGCCTCTGTACGCTTCTGTAGCTTCCAGGGAGCCAATGAGAACGTCTGGCACGTCCTGGTGAGGGGCCTCTGTTGTTGCTTTGTGATCATATATTTTTTTACATAGAATTCATGTAGCTTCATTTATAGGACTTTAAAGGCTTTTTACATGTCAGACACCACATCATAAACCTCTGGGATTAAATAGGTATGAATGTTTTATTCCATAGGTTTGTAAAATCTAAAATGATAACTTCTTCCTTTTCTTTCAGGATGTAGAATCTAATTCCCCAGCAGCATTGGCTGGTTTGCAGGCACATCAAGACTTCATTGTTGGAGCGGACCAGGTGTTGCAAGATGTACGATTAAGACCAGTAACCTATAGTTTGCATGGAAAATCAATTTCACCAAATATCCACAACTTTTTCTAAGTTAGAAATTGCTGAAATATATGTTGTTGTTCATTGTTGGCTGGCATGTTTTTCTTCCCAGTTTGCCCTTTTTTTTACTGAAGTGTCTATGATTGTGTTGTTTCACTCTGCAGTCTGAGGACTTGTTCTCCCTGATCAAGAGCAGCGAGGGCAAGCCTCTGAAGCTGCTGGTCTACAACACTCTGACAGACCTCTGTAGAGAGCTGGCGGTTACCCCTAACGGAGCCTGGGGTGGAGAGGGCAGGTAAGCCACTCTCCACTCTGACAGACCTCTGTAGAGAGCTGGTGGTTACCCCTAACGGAGCCTGGGGAGGAGAGGGCAGGTAAGCCACTCTCCACTCTGACAGACCTCTGTAGAGAGCTGGCGGTTACCCCTAACGGAGCCTGGGGAGGAGAGGGCAGGTAAGCCACTCTCCACTCTGACAGACCTCTGTAGAGAGCCGGCGGTTACCCCTAACGGAGCCTGGGGCAGAGAGGGCAGGTAAGACCGCTTTTAGGAGCGAATGTTGTTGTCTGAATATCCCCGCTCCCTTTTTTATATCCCGCAACAACCCTAAGCATGGGTATATTCACAATATACCACACCCCCTCCAGGCTTATTGTGTAATTCTATCTCAGTTTAGGCTGTGGTATTGGATATGGCTACTTGCACCGAATCCCAAGCCGTCCTGTTGACCTGAACAGGCATGGGGCACTTCCTTCACCTACACCTGATGACAACAGCAGAACCCAAGAGATGCCTGTTGGCCACCACACTGAGGTAAACACCTTCACATCTCACCTCCTAGATCCTTTAAGACTAGACAGTTTCACTGATGGTTGATAAACGGCTATGATTTATTTGAGATAAATATGATAGATTTTCATTGAATACCCCAAGTGTATTTAGAATAATATCTATCTAAGTTTATTTAAACTTTTATTCATCTAAGAAGACCCTTTGAGGTCAGAAGACCTATTTTATGATGGAGGCCAAATACATGTGAATTTTGCAGCACGTGTTTTCTGTCCGTCATCTCAGGTGGCCTTAACCTCTCCATCGGGTGAAGAAGTGTTGGGTCTGCAGCAGCCCCTCCAGGTTCCCGCTCTGCCTCTACCTCCTCCCATCCAGAGAGTCATGGACCCAGGTAACCTTCTACTCAGGAAATAATAGAATCATTAGGGCCGGTTTCCCAGACACAGATTAAGCCTAGCCCTGGACTAAATGGCTCTTTAAATTGAGAATATTAATTCATTGCGAATGCTGTTTAAACCTGGACTAGGTTTCATCTGTGTCTGGGATTCCGGCCATAAAACGCTTCAATATTTGTTGTGTTTTCTGGGTATCTGTGTTAAAGGAATCCCCCAGAGGAAGTTGCCGCCACTATTTTGATGTAATTTCCTGTCCTAGAGAAGAAATGCATGTTTAGGTTCCACCTACGAAGAATAACAAAGGCTACTTACACATATTCACGAATTGGATGTGGGAATTTCCACATGGAGTTGTTAAACATCAACAACTAGGGCGCTGACAGCTGTCAGTGTAGTTAGCTAGCATGCTAACCTTATCTAGCTAGCTATGTTGATAACCATATCTGTCTAGTTAATGTTATGTTGTTGATGTTTGTTTTTAACTACACCATATTCAAAAGATTAGCCAGCTGGCTCAATGGCTGATTCTGGAGCTGGATTTGTCATAAGCATTGATTTAGGGAAAACTTCCACACAGATGGAAACCACTGGCCTGTCTTTGACTTCCACACAGATGGAAACCACTGGCCTGTCTTTGACGTCACCATGATGGAAACCACTGGCCTATCTTTGACTTCCACACAGATGGAAACCACTGGCCTATCTTTGACTTCCACACAGATGGAAACCACTGGCCTACATTTGACTTCACCACGAGATGGAAACCACTGGCCTATCTTATGCTTCCACACAGAATGGAAACCACTGGCCTGTCTTTGAACTTCACACAATGGAAACCACTGGCCTATGGGGCTTGACCTTCAACCACAGATAGGAAACCAAACTGGCCTATCTTTGACTTCCACACAGATGGAAACCACTGGCCCTGTCTTTTGACTTCCCCACATATGGAAACCACTGGCCTATCTTGACTTCCCCACAGATGGAAACCACTGGCCCTACTTGTGACTTCCCCACATATGAAACGCACTGCCTATCTTTGACTTGAACCACAGATGGAAACCACTGGCCTATCTTTGACTTGAACCACAGATTGGCAAACCACTGGCCAGTCCTTTGACTTCAACCACAGATGAAACCACTGGCCTATCTTTGACTTGACCACAGATGGAAACCACTGGCCTATCTTTGACTTGACCACAGATGGAAACCACTGGCCTATCTTTGACTTGACCACAGATGGAAACCACTGGCCTATCTTTGACTTGACCACAGATGGAAACCACTGGCCTATCTTTGACTTGACCACAGATGGAAACCACTGGCCTATCTTTGACTTGACCACAGATGGAAACCACTGGCCTATCTTTGACTTCCCCACAGATGGAAACCACTGGCCTATCTTTGACTTGACCACAGATGGAAACCACTGGCCTATCTTTGACTTGCCCACAGATGGAAACCACTGGCCTATCTTTGACTTCCCCACAGATGGAAACCACTGGCCTATCTTTGACTTCACCACAGATGGAAACCACTGGCCTATCTTTGACTTCCCCACAGATGGAAACCACTGGCCTATCTTTGACTTCACCACAGATGGAAACCACTGGCCTGTCTTTGACGTCACCACAGATGGAAACCACTGGCCTATCTTTGACTTCCCCACAGATGGAAACCACTGGCCTATCTTTGACTTCACCACAGATGGAAACCACTGGCCTGTCTTTGACTTCCACACAGATGGAAACCACTGGCCTATCTTTGACTTGACCACAGATGGAAACCACTGGCCTATCTTTGACTTCACCACAGATGGAAACCACTGGCCTGTCTTTGACTTCCCCACAGATGGAAACCACTGGCCTATCTTTGACTTCACCACAGATGTAAACCACTGGCCTATCTTTAACTTCCACACAGATGGAAACCACTGGCCTATCTTTGACTTCCCCACAGATGGAAACCACTGGCCTATCTTTGACTTCACCACAGATGGAAACCACTGGCCTATCTTTGACTTCACCACAGATGGAAACCACTGGCCTGTCTTTGACTTCCCCACAGATGGAAACCACTGGCCTATCTTTGACTTCCCCACAGATGGAAACCACTGGCCTATCTTTGACTTCCACACAGATGGAAACCACTGGCCTATCTTTGACTTCCACACAGATGGAAACCACTGGCCTATCTTTGACTTCCACACAGATGGAAACCACTGGCCTATCTTTGACGTCACCACAGATGGAAACCACTGGCCTATCTTTGACTTCCCCACAGATGGAAACCACTGGCCTATCTTTGACTTCACCACAGATGGAAACCACTGGCCTATCTTTGACTTGACCACAGATGGAAACCACTGGCCTATCTTTGACTTCACACAGATGGAGGGACACAGATGGAAACCACTGGCCTATCTTTGACTTGACCACAGATGGAAACCACTGGCCTATCTTTGACTTCCCACAGATGGAAACCACTGGCCTATCTTTGACTTCCCCACAGATGAAACCACTGGCCTATCTTTGACTTGACCACAGATGGAAACCACTGGCCTATCTTTGACTTCCCCACAGATGGAAACCACGGGCCTATCTTTGGACTTCCCCACAGATGGAAACCACTGGCCTATCTTTGACTTCCCCACAGATGGAAACCACTGGCCTATCTTTGACTTCCCCACAGATGGAAACCACTGGCCTATCTTTGACTTGACCACAGATGGAAACCACTGGCCTATCTTTGACTTCCACACAGATGGAAACCACTGGCCTATCTTTGACTTGACCACAGATGGAAACCACTGGCCTATCTTTGACTTCCACACAGATGGAAACCACTGGCCTATCTTTGACCTTCCCCACAGATGGAAACCCACTGGCCCTATCTTTTGACGTTCCACACAGATGGAACCCACTGGCCTATCTTTGACTTCCCCACAGATGGAAACCACTGGCCTATCTTTGACTTCCCCACAGATGGAAACCACTGGCCTATCTTTGACTTCCCCACAGATGGAAACCACTGGCCTATCTTTGACTTGACCACAGATGGAAACCACTGGCCTATCTTTGACTTCCCCACAGATGGAAACCACTGGCCTATCTTGACTACACCACAGATGGAAACCACTGGCCTATCTTTGACTTCACCACAGATGAACCACTGGCTATCTTTGACTTACCACAGATGGAAACCACTGGCCTTCTTGACTTCCACGACAGAATTGAAACCAAATGGCGTACTTTCACTTAATTATTTAATAACTCAAAGCTTGTGAGTAAGTTTGAACCTATATTTAATTAGATCAGGACAGTAAGTAATTTTGATGTAGCCTATTTATATTCTCATGATCAGGAACAGTTAAACGCTAAGTTGAAGCCTATTTAATAATGTCAGGAAGCCAAGTAGACGTAAGTTTGAAGCCTTATTTAATTAGCTCCATGGCTCAGGAAGCCAAGTAGACAGTAAGTTTGAAGCCCTTATTTTAATTAGCTCCATGGCTCAGGAAGCCAAGTAGACGCTAAGTTTGAAGCCCTTATTTTAATTAGCTCCATGGCTCAGGAAGCCAAGTAGACGCTAAGTTTGAAGCCCTTATTTTAATTAGCTCCATGGCTCAGGAAGCCAAGTAGACAGTAAGTTTGAAGCCCTTATTTTAATTAGCTCCATGGCTCAGGAAGCCAAGTAGACAGTAAGTTTGAAGCCCTTATTTAATTAGCTCCATGGCTCAGGAAGCCAAGTAGACAGTAAGTTTGAAGCCCTTATTTTAATTAGCTCCATGGCTCAGGAAGCCAAGTAGACACTAAGTTTGAAGCCCTTATTTTAATTAGCTCCATGGCTCAGGAAGCCAAGTAGACACTAAGTTTGAAGTATTGAAGCCCTTATAGTTTAAATTAGCTCCATGGCTCAGGAAGCAAGTAGACACTAAGTTTGAAGCCCTTATTTGAATTGCTCCATGGCTCAGGAAGCCAAGTAGACACTAAGTTTGAAGCCCTTATTAATCAATGCCATGGCTGGGAACCAAATAAGACCACAAATGAACGCTAGCTTAATATAATTATTCATGGCATCAGGAACCATTACAGATTCACGAAGTGGCCGTTCGATTTAGTCAGCCATATTCATACTAAACAATGCAAGGCTTTTGACTAATCGTGTCAACTCAAAGGGTAAGCTTCGCTTTCGTTTCATGCATCTGACTGGTGGGTGGCCAGTTTAAAGCCTGTTCTAACGTGTAAATTTTATAAAAAATAAATTTACAGAGCACGAACTTGATTATATACAAACATGGTTTGTTCCTGTTCATGTTTTGGACTCGTTAGAATTCCTAACCAAGCTCACTTATAACAAAATTTCTGTTCTGTTTGAGGCCCTCTCTGACTCCCCGGACCTATCAGAGATGGTCTCCTCCGTTGACATGGGTCACATGACCAACGACGTGTCCATGCTAGCCAATGACGGGGATGTCTCCTGTCGTCAACACCACCCCAACCCCCTAGACCCTGGGGGAGCCGTCACAGCCACAGGGGACCTGATCCATCCTGACTGTGTGACACTGCTACATCAATGATCTAACCATGGCAATGCACTCGCACCTGGCAAACCAGAGCCCACACGGAGGAGGAGGAGGAGGAGGATGAGGAAGAGGCGGAGGAAGAGGAGGGGAGAGGAGGAGGAGAGGAGGAGAGAGCGTCACGAGGTAAGAGGTCTTATGCTGTGTATGGGACGTTAGGCAGCAGTACCGACGTCTGTGCGTACAGTCGAGCTGAGTCTTAGATAGGTCACGACTTGGAGTGGGAGGTCATGATCGAGAGTTGCGTTTGAACACCTTGCTGCATCTAGCAGGAATGATATCAACTGCTGGTATTAGTTACAGACGTTCCCTCGTATAGATACATTACACTACTGCATCCCTCTCATCTCAGCTCTACTGATATAATTACATTACATACTGCAATCCCTCTCATCTCAGACCTGCTACTGATATAGATTACATTACATACTGCAATCCCTCTCATCTCAGACCTGCTACTGATATAGATTACATTACATACTGCAATCCCTCTCATCTCAGACCTGCTACTGATATAGATTACATTACATACTGCAATCCCTCTCATCTCAGACCTGCTACTGATATAGATTACATTACATACTGCAATCCCTCTCATCTCAGACCTGCTACTGATATAGATTACATTACATACTGCAATCCCTCTCATCTCAGACCTGCTACTGATATAGATTACATTACATACTGCAATCCCTCTCATCTCAGACCTGCTACTGATATAGATTACATTACATACTGCAATCCCTCTCATCTCAGACCTGCTACTGATATAGATTACATTACATACTGCAATCCCTCTCACTCAACTGCTCTGATATAGATTACATTACATACTGCAACCCTCTCATCTCAGACCTGCTATGATTAGATTACATTACATACTGCAATCCCTCTCATCTCAGACCTGCTACTGATATAGATTACATTACATACTGCAATCCCTCTCACTCAGACCTGCTA